TTTGAAGAGCATTAATCGGTGATTCCAAATCTGCTTTCCGGATCTGCCAAGCGCCTCTGGACGCCGAGTTATGCTCGTTTTTCAGGTCAAAAAATTGAACGCAAAACTGAAGCAAAATCGCCCAAATTTGCTCAAATGATCCAGTGTCAAGTATCAAAGCTGTTTATGCAATGGATACATTTTATTTAATATGCTAATACCTAACATTGCTTTATCTGAGCGCTAGAAAGATTGTAACAATCAATTTTACCTAAATTCTGCATTCATTTTTTGTTCCGAAGAACAGTCATAACTCGGCGTCCAGAGGCGCTTGGCAGATTTGGAAGGCAGATTTGGAATCACCGCTTAATACTCTTCAAGGCAGTATGGGTCTCATCTGGAAAGGCCACTTCGACTCGACACGGTTCCCTTGTAAGCTGTTGAGTCTGTGTACATGTACTGAAGCCCAGTTTTGTAGGCCTAACACACTAAGACGCTTCTGTTTCTGAAATGCAAAAATAAACCTTACAAAACCTCGTTTTTCATGTAAAACCTTTCAATGAAAAATGTGACACCCATATTTTTCTGCCACCCTGTACACTCTACAACTTTCGAATAAAACATGGCACTAAAGGATTGAGATCACCAGGAGCAAAATATAGAAGTAAAAGCTCTCATTCCTGCTCTTTTTAGGTACGCCGCTCCAATTTCCTTGACAAAATTAGAGTTCCTTTTTAGGACTCTTTGAAACCCCTTTTTGAAATGAAATCGGAGCTTTTTGAAGCAAGTTCATTCCTGCGACGACGGAAACGGCGTCCCCAGCGATAAAAAAAGCAGCAGTGGTGTTCGCCCGCGGCTAGTTCATATGAAGGCGCCGCTCCCCTTTCCGCAAGATACTCATGCATGAAAGCCTCGAAAATAAATTTGAGCACCTTCTGTTGATTTTATGGTGTTACTGCTGCAAAGCTGGTGCAGGTAATCTCAGTGCTCTGAATTACAGAGGCTGTATTGATAACTTTTGAGGGGATAGTGGCATAGTAACTTTTGATGACGTGATCGAAGTGGTTGAAATAATGCTCAGTCCCTGCGATAGTTCAATATTTTGATCACAGGGTAAACAAGTCGATCGCCAAGATTTGTGCGCAAATCTCAATTAATGTGTTTTATTGAGCGTCAAAAATACGCTAAAACTTTCGGTTGGTTTCCTATCAAGCACAACAAAGCCGTAACTCAATATTCAATATGCGGCTTTCTGCAGTAGAAGTAGGCCTTTTTCATAGTCTCAGTGAAATTTGACCATTCCACGCTTTCCGGAAGGAAAGTACTAGGCTCCTAGGCTTTTCACGCACCCTGTGAGGTTGCCTATCCTCATATTGCGGACAATGTCACATTGTTCTTGCTTTTATTTCTATATGGCTGTAGGTACATAATGAAATGAGAAACGAACGAGGTGAGAGAGTTTCAATACTAGAGTTAAGGCCGTTGCAGGCAACGAAGCTTTACTCGAAAATAAATCAGGCTTCAGCAATTTCAACCTCAAAGCCATTATCCTGACAAAATTTTGCTCTCTGGCCTTTACGGAGCCATCTCGCCATCTGAATTTATATCTGAGCTTTTTAACGCTTGAAATTGACAAAAACGAGCTTTTTTCGAAGTTCTCCGTGTCCGCGTTCGCTCCAGATTGCATGCAAGAAGTGGGCGGGGTCCGGAGGAATTCCGGAGTGGATTTTGGGCTTTCCAGAAGCGCTTTTTCTCTCCAGACTTCACTTATAGACTGGCTGGAGGGTCTACCATTTTAACACTCTAAAATCCCGGTATACGTTATTTTGCGACGCTGCTTTCAATTGGGGGTCTCCACCCATTGCTGGAAGAGCAGCTCCTTGCTGAGACCCGTATGTACGCGTTCCGCATTCTTCTTTATCTGTTTATATTATTCTCAAGTATCAGCGTATAAGGCTTATGTTCAATACTTAAGTGTAATGGATGGCAGAACATTGCCACACAAGCTGAGATTTTCAGTGTTTTGAGTACTCCTTTGATGGATCCCAGGATATCACCTTTTATTTCGAAGGTCGTCTGTCTTACCAGAAGGTCGATGAAACTCCGCAAATTAGTAGTAAGGATTTACTATGGCACTGTTAGGGATGTTTTCGACAACACAAATGGGTAGTCCATTTTGTGAGTTTTTTGATGAACCTCACCTCGCGAACTGCGGTTTATGAAAGGCTGATTTCTTGAGATTTCACCAAGTTCTACTACAAAGATGCTTATCACTGCCATAGTGCCCCTCGGGATACAATTTTACAGCATTTTCATTGAGTTCTAGAAAGATAGTTGACTAATGTGAGCTGATTTCCTGGTGACCTATTCATATGTAACAGCAAAAAACTCAGTTTGATGGCAATGTTCTGTCATCAATTATATTCAAACCAGTCATAAGGAAATTGCTAAGCGAAAAACGCACAAAACCGATAAATCAATAGCACCACTAAGTGATTTTGGTGAAAAAGCTTAGTGACACCCGCCCCGCCCCGAAGTTCATGTATGCAAAGTTTCGTTTGAATTCAGTGAAGTTTTCTAACATTTTAGGCCGGTCATAACGAAATTGCTATGGGAAAAACGCAAAAAAAATCGATAAATCGATAGCGCCACTAAGTTTGGTGAAAAAGCTTAGTGACACCCGCTCCACCCCAAAGTTCATGTGTGCAAAGTTTCATCCAAACTCCTTGATGCTTTGTACCTCAGGCCGGTCATAAAAAAATGCTTATCCAAATATTATATAGGTATTTATTGATATAAGTGTATGTGAACTTTCGATAGGTAGAAATGGAGTAATACAGATGCCTAGAGTAGCGAAATATAATGCGTCCTCTTCCGAATCTCATCCCCTTTACTGCTGGATGTACGCGCATACAGGTCTAGATCTATAACCTCTCAACAAGCACTCATATAAGCAGGAAGAGTACGCAAGGGCGAATTGAAGCTAAATACTAGAAAGGCCTGATAGCAAGAGGTTTACAAAATGTAACTTCAGTTTGACATTTCCTTGAGGTTACATTATTCTGTCTATATTATATCTGATCTAAAAAATGATCGTCTGTTTAGTCAACGTTGTGTTATCGCTACGTAAGTACACTTACCAATTACCTTCAAAAATGTGCAAACAACAGCATGCGGGCACCCCTATATTGAGATATCTTCACCATGGTATCGCAAACATAGCGATTCCAAATAGCTATTAATGTTTATATTTCTCTTAACAGATAAACATTGCTTTTATTTCTTTTCTTGTAAAACTTTATGGTATTGCGTTCGTTTGATGTTTCGACGAGAAAGCTTGCATATCGCTCATTAATGTGTTACAGATGTTAAAGATCAAGTTGCCATGTCTTCAACACAAACTTGGGTTGTCGCGAAGAACTATGATTGGTTCCATCAGTTGAACCTGTTTAAAAGTTATTCATTAATTTCGACCGGTGAGCACATTATGTGTAAATGTTGGTTCAAAAGTGGTAAAGCTGGGTGTGAAGGAGAACCACGAGAAAGAATATTTGCTAGCCACAAATGGCTCTGCTCATGGTGAAGTAACTCGCTTCGTCAACCTTAAGATCGAATATGTGATCTCTACTTAACCTGTTTGCTGTGACTATTCAGTAATATCAAACTTCGGCTATCATCTGTCTCCAATAGTCAATGTTCGTACTCTTTGTTTCGGCCAAAATATAATAGGAAGTGAAAATTTCCAAACTTTCCTTTATATCCTGAATCTCGCCTCACCGTGAGGGACCCTGAAGGGGAGACGTTAACTGAAACTCGGTGCTGTAGAATCTGTTTCTGCATTCTAATCTGCACAAAGTCATTTTCAGCAACCGCATCCATGGAATTTGGAGCCTTGCCCTTCCAGTTTTTTGGATAAAGGCTATGCTTTTTACTATTGGCTGCTTCTGAAATTAGCTACTATGCAAATACTCTGTATGAGAAATTACACATAAATTTTTTCAGCACTCGAAATTCACATTTTGTGCTCAGGGAGGCCAACCTGAAGTCGCCCTTAGCTCAAAATAAGCATTTTGCTTTACGTGATTGTGCTGACCACCAATATGCGTTCGCTCAAAAAAGAATAGATTACATTTAAGAATTCTCTTAAAAATTTTCGCTTCAAATAGCTTCAGGATCCTCATAGCTTGATGTTTTTCCAAAACCTTAATCAAGGCGTTTAATCCCCGAGCGGGAATCAGGTCAGGTTTAACGCGTGGAATAATTACAATAAGACGAAGAACCGCATTGAAAACCACGTGCAAGACAATTTAAATGAGGCTGTTTAAGATTCAAACTCCATATTCCTAACAATCGATGAAATTAGTGCAAGTTTCTTCAGCTGGAAATTGCAACTTTTATGTTTAAGATTACTTTACGAATTAACCATCACCCGCAAGCCTACGACTTAACACAACAGTCTCAAAGTTGCACATGAAATTCATTCAGGCGAGAAGATGAGGCAATATATGATGCACAACAATATTTTAGTTATTTTTTAAGCTTGAAACAAATATATCTCTTCTTGACAACGATGCTTTCCTTCTATAAGTAGCGATTAGCATAATCACGGTTCGTAACTGCTTAGATTTTGGAGTCCCTTTGTACAACTCATAGAACTTATACGTAGGTTTTCTCGAGAATACCCTAATTTCGCAAGTACGACATGCACTTATTTTTTTCCAAACTCGTGCAGTTTAAAATCAAAAAAATTTGCGACCAATGGACTTTCTAATGTGCTACTTCTTACCTGAAAGACTTATGCAGGAGAATGACCATTCTTCTCGAAGCACACTAATGCGGTCAAACTGCTTGCTCGAAAAAAAAGAAAAAGATGCGTCTTGTTGTCGTAAAATTAGGGAAACGCGACTGTTTATTTTTCGCTTTGTGGCACAAACCAGCATTACGACGCCATTGGAAACGGATAATTGCTGCTCTTACAGGGCTATGAAAAATGTCGTTTTGAGGCGCAAACCAAACGAAATGTTTATTTGGGAAATCAAATTTCAATCTGTAACATATATATGAAAACAGAACCTGTGCCTGACACATCAGACCTCTGATAATTTCGCAGCCTGTGGAAAGCATTTCTTCTGCGGACATGAATCTACTCTTGGTCGGCTTTCTGTTGTTTTCGATTTTCATGGCAAGTGACGCAAAAGCCTCTCCTAGAGCATCCCCTCCTTGTGACCAGCTTCAATGTGAAAAAGAATGTGAGTCTAAGGTAGGAAATTATGCTATCTGCCAAATCCTTTTATGAAAATCAAAATGATAGTGACAATGGAAAGTGTTAAAAAATAAGGTGGTTCCAATGGTTTTTTTTTTCGAGTTTTTCGAGTTAGAGCGGCAAGTGCTTATTCGAAAAAAAAAATTAAATCGCTCTTATTTTCTTAAGATATAACTTCAAAAATCCGAAAAAAGTCAGTCTGTTGGCACCACGCCACAACTTTACAGAGCTAGTGTTGTTATAGAATTTCAGATATTATTGTTAATCACAACCGAAAACTACTAGATTGCACAGTATTATGATACATGTGGACAATCCTTCATAGCACTCCCTTAGGTCCGCTGCGAACAGATGGGATCACTCTATTTCAAATCGTAGATAGCAACCTTGATAAGCACAACTTACTAGTATATCGTAGTTATGTTCTCCTCATTCCAAACCTTTGTGATTTTTTCTCTCCATTTTAAGCCTAGCTACTTTCTACACTGTTTTCTCCTTATTTCCACACTTCTTTTAGTAAGACAGCAACAAAATTCTACCCAAGTTTGAGCTTCAGAGCAAAATGCCATATACCAAAAGATTCCTCATGTTTTCTCAAGTACACATATTATAAGCAACTTGCCTTGCGAATAACAAAGCTATTTTTCGTGTAATATTTCAGGGTGATCCCATCGTCGGTGGAAAATGCCAACGCGTACGGACAGGGGAAATACGGTGCATGTGCCATAATTGAATGTTGAATGTTTTCTGCTTCGTGCATAAATTTTTCAGTTGCAGTCTGCAATTTTACAAAGAATTTTCAGATAGGAGTTGTTGTACCGAGGCTAAAAAACCGCTTTTGTACTCTTTTGTGGTTGAATTTCCATGTTCCTTCTTCATCGTTTCAGTATTTAAGACATGCAAAACTTTAGCAAAACTTTTGATAAATGGAACGTCTTCCAACCAAAAATATTTAGTGAGCCCGGCAAAAGTATCCTCTATAATATCTCCTGGTAACTGCCAAAGCAATGCGACGGAGCTGCTCTCCTCCTCCATATGCTTTACTGTTATGCTATGTGTTCTCTTAGGCCTCGGACAGACTTCAAGCGATTTGATCGTCGCGACTCAATCGCCAACATTTCCATTTTCATTTCACATTTAAAAATTTCGAGCTGAAAAAGTATCACCACCGCAATGCAAGTTGATCGGCATGAAATGATGTTGTAACAGTTATTTCGCGATTCATTCGCAACGATCAAATCGCGTGAAGTCTCCGGGGCCTTACGGTGTTAAGAAGAAATTCACGATAACGAGAGCAGGCCATATTATACGTCATACGAAACACAACTGCGTTACATGAACTAACAAGGATGTGCAGAGAAACGCCCCGCCTCGCCGAATGCTGAGTAATGATGCGAGCATGCACTCAATGACGATCCGTATGGCTTGCATAACAGCGACGGAACTGGTGACGGTGTTCGTGGTCAGACTGTATGCACTTAAAGTGCAAATTATGGAGCTCTGCATGAAAGTGCAAATATGGGCAATTCGGCAAATAATCAGAGAACATCTCTCTCCTCAATTACAAAGGCATGCAAACAAGGGATCAAGTTCATGTCATGTACAAAGCTCAAACAACAACGGCTGCGAAACGTCGGTATCAGACTAAAAAATTAGTGGAAACATCTGGCCCCCAATCGCTATCATAACTTGGAAAATTGCCGCTCTATTGCTTCCTATCCCGCCTAACGCTTCTTACAATTAGAACTGCAAAATGGTATGATATCAAAGCTGTGCTAGCTGGGATTTAGCGTTAAACCTTGACAAATGCTCAACGCCTTATCCTTGAGGTGGTTCTACAATCTCCTATCACATCAAAGGCACTACGTTGGGGGGATGTGATGCTGTTGAAAATCTGGGTGTCCTGATTGATACAGATCTTAGCTTCACTAAGCACGTCGATATTACCAGCTCCCCAAGGGTACTTGTGTCGTTCTATAGGGCGTTTGTTCTCCCTCACCTGGAATACCGTTCTCAGATCCGGTCTCCGTTTGCAAAAAAAGATACGAGTGGAGTAGAAAAGGTTCAACAGCTTTTTACGAGGCTGTTGTATAGATGTTTACCACCCAGAATGACCCCTCCTGAATACCAAGCCCGCCTTGAGAAGCTTCATGTGGAGTCTTTAACGCACCAGCGGATATTTTCGGATCTTATTCTGCTTTCAAGCTCTCAAGCAAAAGAACAAACGAAAAGCTAGCAAGTACTGAATTTCCTATCAGTGAAAGGTCTGGTTCCTTTAACCTGCAATATCCAAGGATCCGACGCAGAAAATACCTTCTGATGTTCAACAACGTATTTTGTAGGGGAGCTAGGTGGCTTTCGCGTCTCCCTGTTCATACCACTACTGCAGGGAGTAGCCATATTTTCAGAAGTAGACTAAGAAGACTTGATTTGTCAAGTATAGCTAAAATTGATTAGCGTTGCCTGACAGTTAAAGCCTTTTTGTATTAGAGATGCTGGACTTATATTTATCTGCTTGAGATGTGCTATACGGCTGTGTTGTGGATGGATCTCCGATATAGGCTTTGTTTCTATCATATTTTCTTCCAAGTTTCATCTTTAACTGCCATTTCAGGTGCTCTTTGGCCTTGTGATGGTTTGCTTTTCAATTATGGCTATAAGTTATGACTTTGACGTCTCTCGTGTGTCTCCTCACGTTGCGTCGAACTTGTAATTTCGGTGTACTCGTTTTCATCTACTTACTAACCGGTCTCTCATCAGCGTCTTGGTCCGAGTCTTTTTCGCTCAGCTATCTAGTATTCAGTCGTACAGCTTGCTGATTCAACCAAATGGATTGAATGTGAATTTTCACCTTTGGTGTCATTGGGCCTTCCCAGCGTTCCGGCTAGGCGGGGTTATGGTTATTGTACCTAGGCCAGTAGATTCGCCGTATAAGCTGTCGGTTTGCTTTCAAGAGTAATATAAAGATCGTTCCGCTGGGAAAGAGGGACATGGGTCCCATCTCCTTGGGGTTATAGTGTGTGGAGTTATGAGTATTAGTGCCTATCAATGTCTTCATCTGTACAAGGTGTCCCAAAAAGATGTGCACACTGTTTGATCGTTAATAACTCTCTTGCTTTCATGTCTTTTGCCGAGCTTGAGGTACCATTCTATAGAGCGAGGATACACTTAGATTTACAGTATGGAGCGAATCACCAATCGCTCTTCGTTACTGTGGGATCACGGTAAGAACTCTCAGCATACAGCGTCACTGTGGAATAAGCCTTTTGATGACTTAATAAATAACTTCGAAAAAATCTAAAAAATTGTGTAACAATGTTTTCAGGCGTGCTGATTTTACTACATAACTTTCCACCAGCTTTTCGAGCTTTCTTGATGGCGTATTCACATTTCTGACAAACATTGGAAAATCAGTTATTACCCTAAATCTGATATAACTCATGAAAGAAACAGTGTACTGACGTGCAATTTTCATATTTAGAATTAGCAACTTCGATTGACCCAGTTCTTGAGTTTCTGGCTTTTGGCTTTTCTTTCTGAGGCAAAAAACTGCTTCTAATGGCTCAAAATCCTTTCCGAAATTCCTACCGTAATCCTACAGTAATGAAGAGCTGCTTATAAATCGCTCCATACCGTAAATCTAAGTTGAACCTCGCTCTAAAGAATGGTATCTCTTGGCAAAAGACATGAAAGCAAGAGAGTTATTAACAATCAAACAGTGTGCACATCTTTTTGGGACACCCTGTATAATCTATTAGCCTATCAACATATTCAATGCAAGCTGTTTCATTTTCCTTACAATAGTCTGACTAAGATTATACTCGGATTGACATGATGATGTCTGCATTCGTTTACGTTTCTTGCTCATTCTGCTGTATTACTAACTTCTTGTCTGGAAACAAAAAAAACAGGGAACTACGTACTGTTGGGAGAAAAGAATCAATCATTTAATGCGGCAGTACATTTTGCCAAATTTTGCCAAATTTTTAGGAACATTTTCCTAAATTTCATTTATGTCAAAAAACGCTGGTCCATTGCGAGTCCCGTAGTTTGTTTATAATATTGTCCCGCCCATTTGAAAACCGAACATTCTAAACATTCTCTCAAATGGGCGGGACAATATTATGAACAAACTAGGGGACTCGCAATGGGCCAGCGTTTGGCACCTATTTTAGCAATAGCATTTGTGTCAAAGATAGAAGAACCAGATCTTAACCGCCGGCCTGTTCTTTACTACAGATACATCGATGATACTATCGATGTTTGTCCAACACAAGCGGAATGGATCTGTGCTTTGACATACTCAATGCTCAATCAATTGACATCAAATTCACAAGGAAGACGCCTAAACAGGGACGGTTACCGTTCCTCAATGTCCAGATCTGCTTATGCAGAGGAGAGTACAGAACACGCTGATATAGAAAAGCAATCTATAAAAATACCTACCTGTACATTTCTTCTCCTCTGCACACCCAATTCAAATGAAACTCAGCATTATCAAAAATATGCTGCGAACGTCTAAAAGAGTGTCTTCAAATAGCGCTCTGGAATGCGCATCGACTAGCAAACGGTTACCTGCTGTCGAAAAACGCAAACACAAACGTTCGTTATAAGGATAATGCTGGAGTTTTCAATGACGTCAGCGGCGAAAAGGTGTCATTCCTTATGCCATTCATATCTGATAAGTTAAGTGCGGCGATTAGAATTTGCGTTAATAAAGGCCTGCAAAATATGCTAAGAGTTGTCAAACTCCCACCCTCAAACCTCAAGCAGCGGGTGCGTAAAAGAAGTTACGATTCAGCCTGTGCAAAGACACACTGTAATATATGCAGTTCTAACAATCCGGAAGACTGCATGTGCCGTGGCGCTGTGTACTTGATATCTTGCAAATTGGGAAGAATATATCGGAGAAGCAAGAAGATCGCTGTATGTACGAATTAATGAACATTTGGACGGAATGAGAAGATTGCGAGTGTCCACGCCTCTGGGCACATAGTGTGCTTTGCCATCAGAACGTAGAGTTTTAAATCAACATTGCTATCCTTTCGAAAGAAACCGATATTGCAGCATGAAAAACCATAGAGGCTTGTTGGATCACGTCCGAATCTCATAGACTGAACAGAAAGGAAGAGAAACTGGCTTTCAGTAGTGAGCTCGTTCACTCTTATCTTGTGTGGATTTGAGTCTGACCTTCAAAGGAAACCTCGTTCTATCACAAGAGTTAGCATATAGTGGCCTGACTAAGTGTCAGAGTGGTGAACAGCCACTTGAAGTGTATCGCTGAAGGTATGTCTACCCTTGGAGCGTCGAATATATTGACTCACTTTCCAGGTCTTGAAAAAGGTGACCCTGCCGAAACGTCGACCTGTTTACTGAATGTACTGATGCGTTGTATTGATAAACTGATAACAATCTTGGAAACGTTACTAACTTACTGAGAACTAAAGGGGATATCGTTTACGGATACTCCCCCACAATTACTTTCTACCCCTTATGTCACCCTTCATCTTCTATAGAGGACGCAGAATATCATTTCTGCCTTATCGATCACCGTAAAACTTTCAACGAGTACGCCGGTTAAGCGCGGAATTCAAAAACTTCTCTCGAAGAAAACAAAATCCTTGTTTACAACGAAGAATGAGTTGACTCTAAAATTTGTGTGTAGATGGGCAATAGGTTAGGGCCATCTATAAAAAACTTGAAAAGTTATGTGCACCGAAAGCGTGGCAAATTTTTTTTCGGAGTTAGGTGGCTT